AAGTCAAAATTGACAAATGGGATTACATCAAATTGAGAAGTTTCTGTACTGCAAAAGAAACACTCAGCAAAGTGAAGAGGCAACCAACAGAATAGGGAGAATTACTTGCAAACTATGCAACTGATAAAGGATTAATAACCAGAATCTACAAAGAGATCAAGAAACTCAACAACAACAAAACAAACATCCCAGTTAAGAAATGGGCAAAAGACTTTAACAGGCATTTTTCAAAAGAGGAAATCCAACAGAAACATGAAAAAATGCTAAGGATCACTAGCCATCAGGGAAATGCAAATCAAAACCACAATAAGTTTTCACCTCACCCCCATTAGAATGACTTTCATACAGAAATTAACAAACAACAAATGCTGGTGAGGATGTGGGGGAAAATGTACCCTAATCTATTGTTGGTGGGAATATAAACTGGTACAGCCACTATGGAAGGCAGTATGGAGATACCTCAGAAATCTGAATATAGACCTGCCATATGACCCAGCCATCCCACTCCTTGGAATTTACCCAAGGGAAATGAAATCAACATATGAAAGTTATCTGTACTCCCATGTTTACTGCAGCTCAATTCACAATAGCTAACATAAGGAATCAATCCAAATGTCCATCAATTGAAGACTATATAAAGAAATTATGGGATATGTACACCATGGAATACTACACAGTGGTTTTAAAAAATGAAATCTGGTCATTTGCAACAAAATTAATGAAACCACAAACCATCATACTTAGTGACATAAGCCAGACCCCAAAGGACAAATACCATATGCTCTCCCTGACCTGTGATAACTAATAGAGCACCTAAAAGATAATTCATAGAAGTGAAATTAACACTTCAAGATTCAATGACTTTGAACATCCCTTGTCTTGACTGCTGAGGAAGTTTTTTTTTTTTCACAAAATTTGTTGAACTATTTACTAAATACTGAGTTAATCGTATCTGTATAAAGTTAATTGAAAATAGATCTTAGTAAAAAATAAGAATGCGAATAGGAGAGAAGGGAGGAAAAGCAGTGCGAGTGTGGGTGGGAGAGTGGGTATGGTGGGAAGAATTGCTATATTCCTAAAATTGTATTTATGAAAAGCATTAAGTTTGAATTCCTTAAATAAAAAGTTTCTGTCAAAAAATACCACCAGGCCGGCGCGCGGCTCACTAGGCTAATCCTCTGCCTTGCGGCACCAGCACACCGGGTTCTAGTCCCGGTCCGGGTGCCGGATTCTGTCCCTGTTGCCCCTCTTCCAGTCCAGCTCTCTGCTGTGGCCCGGGAAGGCAGTGGAGGATGGCCCAAGTACTTGGGCCCTGCACCCCATGGGAGACCAGGATAAGTACCTGGCTCCTGCCATCGGATCAGCGCAGTGCGCCAGCTGCAGCGCACTGGCCATGGCGGCCATTGGAGGGTGAACCAACGGCAAAAGGAAGACCTTTCTCTCTGTCTCTCTCTCTCACTGTCCACTCTGCTTGTCAAAAAATTAAAAAAAAAATACCACCAAAGATCTAGGATTCAGCAAGATTGTCTACATTTTAGGAAATAGTAATAATTTCAAAAACAAATGAGAGGTTTTATTTGTATGTGTGTATTAGAGAGGGAGGGAGAGGGAGAGGGAGAGGGAGAGGGAGAGGGAGAGGGAGAGGGAGAGATCTGTAGCTCTGAAACAGTTATGGGTTGGGTTGTGTCCACCAAAAAAAGGTATGTTGACATCCTTACCCCTAGTCATTCAGAAAGTGATGTTATTTGGAAATAGGATCTTTATAGAAGTAAAGTTAAGTACAGAAGGAAAACGTTGTGGAGAAACACAGGAAGAATGTCATAGGAAGATAAAGGATTGGAGTGATGTATTTGCGAGCCAAGGAATGCCTGAGACTACTGGAAGTTAGGAGCCAGAACTGGGACAGATCTTTTCCTGGAACCTTTAATGGGAGCATGGAGCTGTGGATACCTTTATTTCAGACTTCTGGCCTATATCACTGTGAAACGAGATGTATCTGACTTTTAAGTCAGTCTGTTCATGGTACTTTTAAGGCAGCTCAAGGTAGCTAATGCAGGTACCACCTTTCTAGACTGTATTTTATTCTTCACATATAGGAAAATCTTTGTGACTACCAATTTTTTTTATCTGTAATATTTTCACATGGATTTGTATGCTTTTTAAAAGTAGATCTTAATGATTCTATCACTGCCAATGATTTAAAAATTAATATACACTTAACATCTGATCCATAACATATCTCAATAATCTAAGAACTCCTTAATGTTCAATTCCATGGATTTTATTTTCAGGTATCCTTGAGGTCAATAGGAAAATCTGAAGAAACAGTTATGGAAATAAAAGAATACTTAATGGAAAAATAACAAAAATGAATAGTTTGGGGAATGAAAGAATCACTTAATTTTTGTAAACCCACAGAGTTACCAGTAAATGCAACTCCATTTATTTTTGAAACTAGTATAAATTGATCATAATATTCAATTCCATCAATGGTCTCTTTTAAGAGTTCTCAAATAAGTTACCTCAGTTTTTTGGTTTTTTTTTTTTTTGACATTTATGTCTGTTAATCTCCTTCCCATCCAATTAAGAAATTTATATTTTTAAATCTTCCATTGATAATTAGAATCATATCCTATTTTCTTCATTTTCCTCTCAACAAAACTGTCACTTTCTGTTTCCTTAGTTTCTAGCATAACATCTGGCACATGGGAAGTACTCAGTATTTAGTCAATGTAAAAGCCAGATATGAAACCCAATTTAGAAAATAAATATAATACAAGCATTTGCAGCCCCAGGGCAGACAGCTGGTATGTTTTTATAGTAGTTTCTGTAAAAGTATTTACTCATAATTAAAATGGACCATTGGCATTGATTCTCAATAAATTGTCTTATTAAAAAATATAAATTGCTTTGCAATCTCTGACAAAGCAGGGATACTTCATGAGTTTGGTGAGGGTTCTCATATATTTATTTCTTCCAAGTATTTTGACTTAGCCCTTCTTTTGTAAACAAGCTTTTTATTCCTTTGGTCTCTATGCTGTCCCTTTCACGTTTTCAGTGACTGGTCAAATCAAGAGTACAGTGGTCAGGCTCTCAGGTGGCCCTCATGATTCTTGCCTCCTAGAATTCGTGCCTTTGTGTCATCTCCTCACCTTGAGTGTGGGTGGGAACTAAAACGTCCTTCTAACCAATAGAATATGGCAAAGATGATGGGATGTCGCTTCCCATGATTTTCTTACCTAAAACTGTGATCTCTTACTAGCAGACTCTATTGACTTACTCATTGTATATTTTAATTTAAAATTTTAAACTTTAATTATATCTGCAAATTTTTTCACCTTTTCCATATTAATATAACCTAAGCAAAGAAGTGACATCACATCATATTTACTGGTCCTGTGCACATTCAAGGGGAAGGGACTGGAGGCAGGGCAAGATGAGTAAGATATTTCAGCAATCGCTCCACAGAAACAATAATTTGAACAGCTATTCCTGCATCAAGTCACCTTCACAGAGCCAAAGAAGCCAATGAGAGATACCTCCCAATTGGGGGACAGAGAAAAAATATTCAGACCTTAGACTTGAAACCCAGTATCAGGTCTTCTATAATGAAACCTAGAGCAGACAGGACCCCACAGCCTCTGCCTCCAGGACAGTACCTGCAGACTGAGCTCCTGGCCAAAAAGCCACCTCGCTACTCCTCTTTCAACTTCTGGCAGGGACATCAGTCACTGAGGAGGAGAGTGGGAAAGTGACCTTAGGGTTTTGCCTTGAAGCTCAGTGCTGGGCTTGCTGTGGTTAAGACCCAGCACCAGATAAAGCCCAAAGGTTTCTATCTCCAGGCCAGTGCTCATAGATGCAAGCCTGTAAATCTGCTCTGGCACCCAATGGAGACCTGTGCCCTGCTGGGATGGGCTCATTTCAAGCTATTATCACTGCTAGTCTTGTGAGGACCAGGTGTATACCTCTGAGATTGTGCAGGGCCCGGTATCTTTGAGACCTGATGTGACCCAGCTTGTGTAATTCTGGATGGCCATGGGACTGCCTCTGCCACCTGTTCCCCAAACTCAGACAGTGAAGAGTGAGACATCAGTAACAAGATAGTAGGGTAGGAAAATGAGTATATGCACCTTGGATCTGGTAAATACCATCACTGGGCAGATACAAATTATTACTGTCCCCAGGCCACTACCTACAGATGAAACTCTTGGACCTGTCACAGTCTCAAGTGGAGACCTGTGGCCACAGTCAATTGGTTTTATCCAGCCAGCATCACCTGTGGTTGATGCAGCAGTCTCAGGTTGCAAGTCTACTTCAGCAGCAGGCAGCCCATAGGGCCATGGCCAATGTGCTGCATTTGATCTTAGGGTGCTGTGGTCTCTGAGTATGACCTAGAATTGTGGCCTAGGTAGCTACTGGATTGTTCATATCATTTCTCCCACAATGCCAGGCAGCTTACCATGGAGAGAATCAATGTGTGCTGAGAAAAATAAAATGTAGGTTGGTACAAAGACACTGCATAGAAACCTGAGGATAACACTGTGGGTACTGTATACCCTTGGCGGGCTTTGGGCTGGAGCTTCTGCAACCCCAACCATACCACTGCCAACAGAGATATCTCAATGACCCCTCCATGACTCTAGGGTGGTACTTCCACACCCACAGCCACAGTGGACTGAAGGCTGGCATCCCCATGACCCGAGACCCTGTTTCAAAACCGCTGCTGAGACCAATATACTTCTGGTGGGTCAGAGAGAACTCCCTGCCCATGTCAAAGATGATATAGGGAGAATATTATAGCATTTAACTGAAAACAAAACCAAAACAGACTATAACCAACACCAGAAGACTATCTCCAGGAAAACGCCTTGTACTAAAAACGCCACTTGTTCAAAGTGATAGAAACAACTCATACTTTCTCACAAATGTCAGAGAAATAAAGACTCTAAGACAAGCAAAAGCTGAGGGAATTCATTACCACCAGACCAGTCGTATTCTGCTTTATTATTGACAGGCAGAGTGGACAGTGAGAGAGAGAGACAGAGAGAAAGGTCTTCCTTTGCCGTTGGTTCACCCTCCAATGGCCGCCGCGGCCGGCATGCTGCGGCCGGCGCACCGCGCTGATCCGATGGCAGGAGCCAGGAGCCAGGTGCTTTTCCTGGTCTCCCATGGGGTGCAGGGCCCAAGCACCTGGGCCATCCTCCACTGCACTCCCTGGCCACAGCAGAGAGCTGGCCTGGAAGAGGGGCAACGGGGACAGAATCCGGCGCCCCGACCGGGACTAGAACCCGGTGTGCCGGCGCCGCTAGGCGGAGGATTAGCCTAGTGAGCCGCGGCGCCGGCCCTAGACCAGTCTTAACAACAGATGTTTAAGGGAGTCCCACATACAGAATCAAAACTAACAACCATCATGGAAATGTAAAGTATAAAACCCACTAGAAACAGAACAAAGCATATTCCAAACAAAAGAAATATTTAAATGACAGGCCTAAGTCATTATTTATCAATAATTAACTTGAATGTAAATGAAACAGATTTTCCAATTAAGAGAATGGCTGAAATAAGACCCAACAATGTTGCCTATAAGAACTCACTTCACCAGTAAAGGCACATACATACTAAAAGTGAAAAGATAGAAAAAGACAGTTCATAGAAACAGAAACCAAAAGTGAGCAGGAGTAGCTATACTTGTAACAGATAAAACAGACCTTAAGATAAAATTGTAAAAAAAGAAATAAGAAAGTTACTATATAATGATCAAGGGACCAATCCAACAAGAAGATATGATAGCTGTAAATGTATATGCACCTAATGTCAGTGCACCCAATTTTATAAAACAAACACTAGATCCAAAGGGGGAGATAAGCTCTAACACAGTAATAATGAGGGACTTCCAACACTCCATGTTGATCAAGGGACAGATCACACAGACTAAAAATCACATAGACACATGAGTTAAACTACACTAAAAGCCAAATGAACCTAACAGGTGCTTATAGAACATTCCACCTAACAGCTGCAGAATACACATTCTTTTCACTGGCACATGAAACATTCTCTAGGATAGACTATATATTATACCACAAAACAAGTCTCAATTAAAAATATCATATTCTGTATTTTTCTGACCATAATGGAAGACTAGAAACCAACAACCAAGGAAAATTTAGAAATTGTACAAATACATGGAGACTGACCAACATGCTCCTGGAATGAAGAAAATTCTCAACAAAATACTAGCAAATTGAATCCAACAACACATCTAAAAATCATTTATCATAATTAAATGAGATTTATCCCAGATGCAGGGATGGCTAAACATAAGCAATCAATAAATGCAACACATGATATCAACAGAATGAAGAATAAAGCCATAATCAATGATTGGCACTGTGGCATAGTGGGTTAAGCCAACTCTTGCAATGTCTGCATCCCATATGGGGTCCTGGCTGCTCCATTTTCAATCTACCATCTTGCTAATGCACTTGGGAAAGCAGTGGAAGATGGTCCAAGGATTTGGACCCCTGCACCCATGTGGGAGACCTGGATGAAGCTCCTGGCTCCTGGCTCAGTCCTACCTGTTGCGCCACATGGGGAGTGAACCACTGGATGAAAGTTCTCATTCTCTGTCTCTCCTTCTCTCTCTGTAATCTCTGCCTTTCAAATAAATAAATCTTTAAAAAATAATAATCATATGATCATAGTTTCAAAAATGCAGAAAAAAGCATTTAATAAAATTTAGCAACCATTAATGATAAAAAACTTGAAAAAACTAGGTATAGAAGGAACATACCTCAACATAATATATCTGACAAACCTAATATCATATCTAATGGGGAGACGCTGAAAGCCTTTCCTCTATAATCTGAAACCAGAAAGAGATGTCCAGTCTCACTGTTCTTTTTCAATATGGTACTAAAAGTTAATTCAGAGTCAATGGGCAAGAATAAAATAAGACATATAAATAGGAAAGGAGCAATTGAAATTATCCCTGCTTAAAGATGACATGATTCTATATAGAGAGATTCTTATTGAATGGATAGAGATTCTTATTAGAATAGATAAACATATCTAGTAAAGTTTCAATATACAGTCAACACACAAAAATCATTAGCATTCTAATACAGTAATAATAAAGTCACTGGGAAAGCAATGTTAAGAGCAATCTCATTCATAAGAGCTACAAAAAGGCGATGGGGCATGGTACAGTGGGTTAAGCTGTCACTTGCAATGTCAGTATCTCACATCAGAGTGCCAGTTCAAGTCCTGGCTGCACTTCTTCTGATCCAGCTCCCTGCTGATGTGCCTGGGAAGGCAGTGGATGACAATTCAAATACCTGGGCCCCTGCCACCCATTTGGGAGACCAGGATGGAGTTCCTGATTTCTGGCTTTGGACTGGCCCAGATCTGGCTGTTGCAGACATTTGGGGAGTGCAGCAGCAGAGGGAGATTATTGTATCTTTCTCTCTCCCCCTACCTCTCTCTCTATAAAAAATAAATTCAAAATGTATCAATTGTCAGTAAGATTAACATTATGAAACCACCAGAGGAAAACATAAGGTAAAGACTTTAAGACATTCCCATAGGTGATTTTTTTTTTTGGGTAAGACCCCCAAGAACACAGGCAACAAAAGCAAAAACCAATGGGATTACATCAAATTAAGAAGTTAGATACAGCAAAAGAAACAATCAAGAGCGATGAGACAACCAATAGAATGGGAAAAATATCTGCAGACTATGCATTTGACAATATCCAGAATACATAAGGAATTCAAAAAACTCAACAATCTAATTAATAAATAACAATCTAATTAAGAAATAAAGGTTCTAAACAGACATTTCTCAGAAGAAATACAAATGGTAAAGAGATATATGAACAAATGCTCATCATATTAGTAGCCGTCAGGGAAATGCAAATCAAGACCACAATGAAGAGTCATCTCACTCCAGCTGGAATTGGCTATTTTCACAAACACAAAAAGTAACAAATGCTGCCAAGACTGGGGAGAAAAGAGAGCCCTGATACAAGGAAGGCAGGGATTTAAGTCTGCACAGCCAGTATGGAGAACAGTATGGGCATTTCTCTAAAAAACAGATCTGCTATGAGATCTAGCTATCCTACTTCTCTCTCTCTCTCTCTCTCTCTCTGTGTGTGTGTGTGTGTGTGTGTGTGTATGAAGGAAATGAATTCAGTATATGGAAGAGGTATCTACTACACTCCCAACTTCCTTGTAGCACTCTTAACAAAATGTCAAGATACAGTATCAAGCTAAATGTCTATCCATGGGTGAATGGATAAAGAAAATATGGTATATTTACCCAAAGTAATATTAATCAGCCATTACTATCATCAATGCTAGACAGTTGAAATGAGGAAGCTTGACTGTGTCTGGATCTCCTAAGGTAGCAAAATCTGCAGCATGGTCAACTAGTTTGTATTACCCCATATAATCTGTAACATTTTCATGCCAAATCACCTCCCTAAAGAAAGGAGTGGGAAGCAAAGAAACTTCCATACTCAGTTCCTCTACAAAGATGTATTATTTACATATTTGCATCAATGTTTTCTTCAGTCAGGGGTATATGCATTTTGCATCCTGACATTTGCAGCAAAATGGATGGAACTGGTGATCATTATGTTAAGTGAAAAAAGTCACACACAAAAAGACAAATACTGTAGGTTCTCTTGCATATATGGAAGTTTAAAACAACAGTCAACCTGAACTCAGAATAGTTATCACCAAAGGTTGGGAAGTAGGGAATACAAGGAGGTTGGATTAACAAATACCAAAACACTGTCAGAGAGAAGTAATAAGTTCCAGTGTTCCATAGCACAGTTGGATGACTACAGTTCACAATAACGTGCTATCCACTATATAAAAAAGTACTAGAGGAAGAGGGGAGCTAGTAGGCTCCAAAGACAAAGGAAAGAAGGAAATGGAAAAGTCAGTTGCCTGGTATCATTGGTTTATGTTGTGTGTATGTGTTAAAGATTGCACTGCACACCATAAAAAGTACAAGTATTGTATGTTAACAAAAACAATTTAAATAAAATAATTTTTAAAATGTGGGGGAAGAATTATTAAAGGCACATGGGCATCAGCAGGTAGAACCTTGAGGGCCATCTTAAAATTCTGCCTATGAAAACTGGCATGCCTTAGTACCGTTTGTGAGGTTTACTTCCACTGGGCTCCTACAGTTTATATTTTGGCAAAGTATTTTTGCAATATTGTTCTACTACCATAGTTGTACTTGCCAAAAATTTTATTGTATTTACCTTTAATAAAATTAGAATTGTACTGAATGTAATATTTACACAGAAGACTTTTTTAAGAATTCAGACTTACATCTACTTTGGACTAACATCCTTATAAACCTTGTTTATGAAACAGAAAGATGGATTTTTTTTCTTTGTTTGAAAGGAGTAATAGACACTGTGATTAAGAATAGTGTTTTGTTATTGAGCTAAAATAGGGAAAACGAAGGTAGTTGGCTCCATTACCTAAGTAGCACCTATGAGAAAGGCAAGCCATGTTTCTATCCAAGTAGACTTAATAGCTTTGTCCTTCCTGTCCCTTGTGGCAATGCACTGTGTGACTGAGCCACACTTGGTTACCACCATCAATGCTAGAGACAGTTGAAATGAAGAAGCTTGGCTGTCTGCATCTCCTATGATGCAATCTGTGGCACAGCCCAATACCTTGGATCACCCCATACAATCTGTAATGCTTTCACCTTCCTCAAGAAAGGAGAGGGAAGCAAAGAAACTTCCACACTCAGTTCCTCCACAAAGATGTACTGTTTACGACTTTGCATTAATGGTTTCTTCAGTCAGGAGCCTATGCATTTTGCACCCTTCAATATTTTAAAATTATATGTGTTTTCTACATTTTGCCAATTGGTAACTCCAAATACTTCCATGTTTAATTCTCATTCATTTTAAGAGAACTGACCAGATAAAGTTTATTAAAAATATGCTCATTGCAAACAGTTTTGTCTCAGTTTTTAAAAAACTACAAATGTATTAAAAACTATTGCAGTGTCATGACATTGCAAATATTGTCTTATGAAGTAATATTGTATAGTAAAAACTGTGAAATATTGTAACTCAATTTTCACATATAAAAATATATTTTTTGTCACAACACTGAACAGTTAAGGCCACAACACTTAGAGTTTGAGACACGTGAATTTTGAAACTGCTTGTCAAAAATTTTAGCATAAATAAATATCAAAACTGGTCATAGTGTTTAAACCAAATGAAACAACTTATACCTTCAAAAAGTCTGTTATTAAGAACTTTTCTCAGAAGTTGTAACATTTTTCAAGTATAAATGACAATACACTCCATAACCACAAAAACCTTGTATTCAAAGAATGACGCAAGATTTTGACCTCTCCATATTTGGTGGTGAAGTATTCTGATTATGTGGCTCCACGTGGTCCTGGCTGGTGTTCCTTTTATAAGCTATTTGATCTCCCAATGGTTTTATCTCTGGAAGTGGCTTACCACCAACCTGCATATTTTTCTGACTTGTCACTGGCATTTTTTTAAAGAGGAAAATCTGGAAAAATACACAAAAAGAATTCATTTTAGTAAGAGAAACATTCACTGAACAGTATTTAAAGGGCATCATTTTCAAGAAGTAGTAACATTATTTTGTCACATATTTATGGGGCGCCAGATGTACAATGAATGGTACATTATTAGCATTCATAAGTCTTTGCAGTCATGATTCTACACTTAAACAAGATCTTTCAGGGTCTAACTTTCAATATCATCAACATTTTGGCAAAATATCATTTTCTTCAAAGAACAAAGTATTTCACTTTGTTGAATTGTAAGAGGAAAAAAAGATGAAAACTATGGTATTACTTATCATAAACTTTTAAATGTAAGCAGGATGAGTCATTCTGGGAACATGCCTGCAATTCCCAAATGATTGGCAGCTAGAGAATTTCTACTATAATATTCTGATGGGGTGGGAATGAGAAAAGGAGAAGAGGAGAGGGAGAAGGAGAGGGAAGAGAAGGATGAGGATAACAACAATGATGTATATCCTATTCCTACAGATCAGAATTTCTGGCAAAACATTAGTGCAATTAAAGGACAGCTGAGTGAGCCGTTGTAGGTATGCAGGTGAGTGGATGCATGGAGTTGCTGCTCAGGGGAGACCAGGGCTACAGATATGCAGAACACAGATAACAGCTGAAAAGAGGAAAGTAGCTCCAATAACCTAAGTATTCTATGCAGGTGGAAAAGGGAAAAAAAAAAAAGAATCTGAGGAAACACAAAGTACAAGTCAAGCACAGGAGGGGGAGCCAGCATCCAGGACCAAGGTTTGTATACAGGAGCAAAATCAGGAAAATGAGGCAGCACAGAAACCAAGGGAGAGAAATATATCAAGGCAGTGGCCACATGTAGGAGAGACCAAGTAAGATAATGACAAACATTTCATTTGATTTAAGTCTTTGGAGTATTTAGCCAGAAAGAAAATAGGATTTCTAAAGAGTTACAACACAAATAATAGTAAAAAACATCTTTTAATTCCACTTTCCCACCAACTTTTTAAAAATGTATTTATTTATTTAAGAGGCAGAGATACATAGATAGAGAGCTCTCATGTGCTGGTTAATTTCCCAAATGCCTGCAATGGTTAGGGCTGAGTTAAAGCCAAAGCCAGAAGCTGGGAACTCAATCCAGGTTTTCCAAGTGGATAACAAGGGCCATCAACCACTGCCTCCCAGAAACTGCATTAGCAGTAAGCTGGAGTTAGCAGCAGGATCCAAGAATCAAAACCAGGTACTCTATGTGGGATGTGGGCATCTTAACCAATGTCTTAACTACTTATGCTAAATACCCACAGTCCTTTGCATTTTTTGTTTTTAACAGGATGACAGAAATAAAACACATAAAACAAAAACCAGGTGAAGAGTCTGCTCTTTCAGAATCAACATGGTGCTAATAACCTACATTTAGCCTTAAAGATTGGAGGAACTAGAGTGAAAAGTTGTAACCCAAAAAATCGGAGTCTAGAAAAAAAGTCTATGAATTAAAATAGAAGAATTTTTCCTGGTATAATGGAGGATTACACACCTGAAAAATTCTGCCACTTAGAAAATTACAGGAGATACTGAATAAGTATCACAAATATAATTTTATAATGTACAATTTCACAAAATTTAATGGAAATTTTCATGGCTCAAAAAATGAAGAAGCAGGAAACCTCAGAGATGACTGAGTACTGAAATGACATTTGTTAACCTCATAATTTAGATCTTTGAATTTTAACAGATTTGATTTCTTAAAATGTATGGAATTGGAACTGAGACTCCTAAATAATAATACGAGGACCTCCTAAGGACTATGCCCTTAATAGAAGTCCACCTATAAACATTGCAAGATAAGAAAACAATGAGCTTCTCTTGGCCTGGCAATTGAGTAAAAGGATAAAAATGTTTTGCTAATGTGAGTCTGGGGTTCATATTTACATTACAACCCTTAAATGAAAAATTAATCTGTAAGTGGTCCTTCAGCCATTTCAGAGCTAGCACAAGTTAATATGAATTCTCCATGGACGGACTCACTCTAAGCCTTATTTCTACAAAAAAGTTCCAGCTGAACATGAATTCAGAATCCAAATTTCAAAACATATATGGAAAGAAGTCACCAATACTAAGTTGGCCAAAGCAACACAAAGATTTAGACTCCTGAGGATTTTTGAGATTGGAATTACTAAATACAGAAAGTAAAATAAGTATGCTCAAATTATTTTAATCACTACAATAAAACATGAGCATAAGATACTAATTTTTTAAAGACTGGATTGATTTGAAAAAGAACCAAGACACCTTACTTAAAAAAGTGAAAAATATTATCGCTGAAATTAAAACACAGGGGTCAGCACTGTGGCATAGTGAGTAAAGCTGCTGTCTATGATGCTGGCACTCCCATATGTGCTGGTTCATATCCCAACTGCTTCACTTCTAATCCAGCTCCCTGCTCATAGCCTGGGAAAAGCAGCAGAAGATGGTCCAAGAGTTTAGGCTCTTGCAACATATGTGGGAGACCAGATGAAGCCCCTGGCCTCTGCCTGGCCCAGCTCTGGCCACTGTACACATTTGGGGAGTGAACCAGCAGATGGAAGATCCCTTTTTCTCTGTCTCGCTTTCTTTCTCTTTGACTTTCAAATAAATAAATAAATAAATCTTTAAAGAAATTTCAAAGATAAATCCAGCTGTATAGGCAATATATAAGAAATCCAAGTAGAACACAAGTGTAAGTAAAGGGGGATAAAAGATCCATCAGGCAAATGCTAACCAAAGGAAACACCATCTCAAATCCTTCATGGTTGGGGGGTCATAAAACTCAAATTATGAGAAACACCATATGAAAAATATAACTTAATACTTTCGTATTGATATTAATATGGAAAATTCATTTACCTTCTTTTGTTTTTTTACATCTTTACTCTTTGACTCATTCATTTCCAGTACTTCTGGAGAACTGCTCTGTGCCTGATCATTCATGTTTCCTATAATTGGACACATGTAGAAATATTGGTTCTAACTCATAAGAAAAAGAAAGATTTTATGCTTTCAATGAAATTCTACCAACCCTGAATTGTGGGGTAATACAAAAATAACTCACTATTGTAGTGGACAACGTCTACATTGCATATTCCCCACAGTAGTGAGTTAACAAGAAATGCCCAGGATGACCTGACCAATATTGTAAATGTTTAGATGACCAGTAAACAAATATAGCTACAAAAGATTTCTTGAACATCTAAATTACTTTTTAAATTAACCTAGTTATGGGCCGGCGCCACAGCTCACTAGGCTAATCCTCCGTCTGTGGCGCTGGCATCCCGGGTTCTAGTCCCGGTTGGGGTGCCGGATTCTGTCCCGGTTGCTCCGCTTCCAGTCCAGCTCTCTGCTGTGGCCAGGGAGTGCAGTGGAGGATGGCCCAAGTGCTTGGGCCCTGCACCCACATGGGAGACCAGGAGGAAGCTCCTGGCTCCTGGCTTCGGATCAGTGCAGCACCGGCCATAGTGGCCATTTCGGGGGTGACCTAACAGCAAAAGGAAGACCTTTCTCTCTGTCTCTCTCTCACTGCTAACTCTGCCTGTCAAAAAAAAAAAAATAACCTAGTTATGATTAAACTCTTTGTACTCAAATGAGCATATTATTTTTTAATATTTCAAATTAATACATGTGATATAGTTGAGTAATTATCTTTATACTTAAAAAGCATACACATTCTTTTAATTTTATATTATCAACTACTTAAAACTTATATTTGATTTGTTTTAAACATTTTAAGTTATATGTGAAGATACTCTTAGGTGATAAGTATTTTAACATTTTGCTTAAAATATTCTAAATTTACTACTCTATCTTTAGAAATTAGATAAGAAAACTACTCCTTCCTCTGCTTAATTTTATATTAGATATCCAGTATTACAAACAGTTATTTTTTATGAGAACAGTTTTTACTGAGCACGTTTTGGTGTGATGGTATGGCGATATAACATAGGTGTCAGACAGAAAAAAAATACATTATTTGGGCCTAGAATCTATACAGCTCTGCGATAATCACAGTATCCTCCATTCCATGGCACCTGTTCTCTGACACAACGGCCGTGGTAGGATCAGAGACTGAGGTTTGGGCTCTAGGGGAAAATAACTGGATGCCCACTGTGGCTCTAAGCCAGCCCATTCTATCTTGGGCAAAGAAGTCCACAGTGCTCACCAGAGATATAAATTGTGATTTAGGGCAAAAGCCTGTTTAATAGAACTGGTTGAATAGGCAAAAGAAAAGGCAGTAAAAAGGCTGTCCTAAATCTCTTAACACATCAGCAGCTGTGAGTAATATGGATATTTGTATGTGAAGAACTGCAGTGTTTATAAATGAGAGCAAGTAAGCCTCTGTCATGCATTTCACAGCTTTTGAGGATTAGGTGACAGTAAAAATAAAATGGAACATATTCATGTAAGCTTATAATTAGCCAGTCATAGCATACATATGTGTATATGAAGTTACTTCAAAAACTTCATAGAAAATTAAGTTTATTTTGGTGCAAAAAAAATTGAAATCCAGGCACAGATTTTTCATAATAAGCATTTTCTATGAACTTCTGAAAGCCCCTCCTATCTGTAATGTACATATGTATGGATGTTATTTACATTTAGTCTCTTTAAAAACAAGGTCTTGAAGTCAAATGTGCTCATACCTTTTAGATTTTCATTGTAGTCACAAATGGCCCATTCCTCTACTTTGGTTTTTTCATCCTATAAACAATAAAGAGGCAATATGAAAAAAACCCATATTTGTGCTGTTAGAAAATCTAGCCTTCATTTTTAAGTAGTGTTCCAGAGTCTGTTTCTAGCTAATGACATAAACATGTGACAATTACTTCACTTTGTTAGACTCCTATAAAATGAGGGGCCTTAGATACAGAATGATTACCGATATCCTAGCTGAAAATTGTATGATTTTTGAAAAAATACGTGATTTGAATTCTTCTCACAGAAGATTCTGGAGCACTAATTGGCATGTGGTTTGTCTTTAACAATTCACAATCTCAGACCAGACTGGTGTATAATGATTCATATGTTAATTCATATGTTAAAGAATTCTAAGACCACCCTAGCCTGAGCTCTTAATACTGTCTATAAACAGAATCATGTTCCCCCTCTGAAAGTAAACAATACCTGCTAGGACTTTTTTTTTTGTCAGTGAGAGGAATCTTTGGAAAAGAAGGAAGAAAACAACCTCTACAGCATAGCAACATCTTTTAAATCAGAGGTGGGGAACATCCAGCCCATGGTCCATGTAAGGCCTACAAAATCATTTGGTCTGGCCCTACCAAGGCAACTGTATGTGGGACTTGAAATTCAATAAAAGTATAGCAGTCTAATTTTTAATTTGATGATTTTGAATGGCCCACAAATGATGCTGTAAATATCCAAATGGCCCTTGGCAGCAAAAAGGTTCCCCATCTCTGTTTTAAATTAAAAGTACACCCACACAGAACAACATGTTTCTCAAGTGCACATTCAAATAAAATGTATGTTTCAGTGCTTGTCTGTGTTAGAGAAAAGAAGAATGGAATGGGGCAAAAAGGAATAAATCCAAGTAAGACATAAGAACCTTGATGAGAATGTTTCAGCAACTAAAAAGCCTGACTAACAGCATTGTGCATGAGAGGTCCAAACAAAATGAGAATGAAAATAAATGGATACAATGTCATTCAGTTTGGATTTCAGAATTCTGTACCTCTGAAATTAATTCAGAGTATTGTTAACAAATGAGTTATTAAAAATCTGCCAACTGTTTCTTAGCAGGTCATTCTCAGGCAAAATAGACAAATGAAAGAAATTGTTTTTTGCAGTCCTATCTCCAATTTCAGGACAATTATGCTACTTCAGTGATACTACCTCCTATACCTCTTCTTTGTCTAGACTGCTGTGACCAACTTCCAGCTGTCCATATATATGTAAACAGATGTACACATACATATTCCAATTCTGCTACCAGTGCCAGTGTTCCTAACTTGGCCATTTTAGCATTTCAAGGACCATACATATGCTGAGCTTCTTGGTTCATTTTCCAACAGTGGCCTATACCAGCTGCTTTCCTCTCATGCTGGGAACAGAATGCTATAAAGTAATGTAGAAAGTAGCCTAGGGACAAAGTGTTCCTGATTCAGAAATTAGCCAAAGCCTTTCCTAGAGCACACAAATGAAATTATTCATATAAGTATTTCTGTCTCCAAAGGAAATTAGAATCTGCCCTCTGCAGGATCCAATGGCCCCACGTGCTTTGTTATAGACAGGATCTCAGGATTTAAACATTTATCATCATACCTTTTCAATGGCTTCAGTTGAGTCATCATAAGTTCTTTCTAACCCTTCAACTTCACCATGGTCAACTGCAGGAGTGCTTTCTTTATCTCCCATAGAATTCTCATTATCAGTGTTAATATTCTCATGCATGTTTTCTGGTTCCACTTCTTCAGTTTCTAATAATTTGTGATCCTGTGACAAAGTTAATCAACAAAGAAGCATAAGACTTCCTTTTAAAAAATTTAATATTTTTAAATTTAATATCACAAATAATTTATACTCTAAGAACACAGAATGTTAATTTACATACTAAAATTGAGGAAATAAAACACTGAACCCACGCTGAATATCAAGTTACTGTATTACCAAGCATTTTACGCATGCTGCTCTATTTCAATGACTAGAATTACCAAAATTATATTAGCACCTATGGCAAGTTTAAAATGGGGAAAAAAATTTGAATGTACTTTCTTAGCTGTCTCAAAATCATGCTTTTAAACTTGAGAGAAATTAAAAAGTTTTCTATATACCATGACATAATATATCTATGGTTCATTTTCTAAAACATAGGTATTTAAAATCACTTCAGATGCACAATTCACTGATATTCATGAGAAAGATTAAGTATTTACATTCCAGGAACAAGACAAAGGGACACACCTTAAATGGTTTGTTCTTGATTATTAACAGCAGAGGGAAAATCATACAGAGGCAGAACTTGGTCTACATAATCCAAATTATTAAACAATCTGTCTATAGATTTGATAAACTGACAGTACATCATATAATCCTTAAGTATAGGTAGAAGATAATATTTTTATTCTAAACTGAAGGTTTTTTATTTTTACAGTTTCATACTTTGTATAGAATATTTTTACTGACTTTCACTAAGAGATTAAGGTCTTCAAGGGACTTCCTGCTATGCTTTTCATTTACACACTTCACAAGAACTTTAACAGCCTCTAAGATAGGTGGATCAGTACCATTCACTCCCTTGAATAAGACTGGTACAAATGCACCTTGGCAATATTTACTTCAGACTATATACAAGCTTTATATCTGCATAAGCACTGTTACTAGTTTTCAGTGATCACTAGTTTCCTAGTGGCTATCTGGTTAAGGCTAAAGCCTGAAACTCAAAATCTTCAGTTGCTGATTTGAAAACAACGCTGATAATAACTCACAGTCTTCTGGCAAAAATGCAAAATGGGAAAGTTCAGGCTAGGGAGAGAATGCATTTATATTGCACACCTTAGTAAAAAATATAAATTGTATGCTCAGGCTAGTAGTACTAAGGGTAACAGCATTCTCACCAAAAAAGACAATCTGTAAGTGAAACAAGATTGAAAAAAGAGTTTCAAAAGTTATTTTGGGACAATTTGACTTAGGTTAATCCAAGGTCATGAGACAATGTATGTAAGGGAACTTGGGAAAGAAGCATGGCACCAGGGAGAACAGCTGCTATATCAAAGGATGGGTAGAGTTAATCAACAACTTCTAACGCTTTCCTTTTTTTTCTGCATGATTTTCCCCTCCAAGTGACTTATATTTTATATTTTGCCTAGCCAGATATGTACTATGAGTAGCTAAAATTATCAAAGGCTATTTTGAAATGAAATGAGAAGGCTATTAGGTTTAAGATTTATGACTCATAAATAATATATTCATAAATATACATAAATGAAAGACTAACTAGAAAGAACAGTGCTCCTGAGACAGAGAAGTTCCAACAGGACCCTCTGCCCCATAGAAAGATAGTCAGTGAGCAGTGTTTCCAGCATAGTCCTCACATGGAGAGTTTGGCTAATTTAGCACCTGGGTCAACTCTAATCAAGCTTGTTAACTATGGTACTAAAGTAATCATAGAATAACATTGTATTATAAAAGGAGTTTCATCTTATTTTAGAAGCAAAACACAAAACACTCATCTCTTGCAATGAATTATAATTTTACTCATTAACTAAGAAGATCTATGGCTATGAAGAAGTTGGAACTAAACCATTTTCTAATTTTGAGAAAACTATTAGAAAATGATAGCTTCTACTAGAAATCACATCATCAGTGCACTTACTAAGCACATTTAAAATTATTCTATACACATCTGGACAACTACTTTAAATCACAGAAAGCACTTACCTTCAAACTGAAACAACTTAGGAGAGATTGGCAGAATACTGTCATTTTATAAAAAGAAAGGGCAAAGTTTAAGTAGATTTAGCACTAGAACCATATAAGACATACAGAGGTAGCCTGGAATGGACAAGTGTGCATCTTGTGTTAGAACTACGGTAAAGAAGTGACTAGGTGTGGCCTCTCACAGAAAGATTCTGTTTCATTCGTCAAACATAGCACTGCAAGCTGCAGTCTGGCCTGGGGAAACACTTTTTAAATTTCTTAATGGGAAATATCAAGAAAGCAAATGTTCTCAGTTTCAGTTTGCTTTAGAATATAATTACACTGCATACTTGAAGGAAGCCAAAGATACTGTACTTTTCTTTAGTCTGAAGGCTGATCAGTTTGGGATGGGTGTGTTCAGTTTGTAAAAAATATATTGAGCTATACACTTATGAGATATGTATCTCTGTGCATATTGTTTTTAAGTAAAATAAAATCCTCAAAACATAAGGCATGATATCCCATGCTACAATTCTGGATTTATAACATGTCTCAATGTCATATATAGGGTAGAAAATATTTCCAAATAGGTTAATATAGTGTAAAATTTTATATTCAGGTTGTACAGGTAAAGAGGTACATATTTTAAAATATCAACTTGGGATTTTTTTTGGGGGGGGGTGTTTTCAGGACAGGAAAAGCTAATATATAAGTTCCTGTTTTAACTACAATAGAAGTCACTGAGGCAGTAGCAGTGACTGGGAAGGACATTAAATAAAAATCTAAGCACTGTTTTCCAAATCTTGCTTTAATACTCAAAGCCTAAGAATGGCACATAATTAACACACTTCATAGTTTACTTGTAAAATGAACTATCACCTACAGTCACATGAAGGCAATCAGCTTCAAACACCGAGGGGGAATTCTAGACCCATTAACTCATGTATGGTGTATAATAAAGTTTCACTCCACCTCATATTTAAGAGTTATCATTATTACAATCTACTTTATTCCCGTGGGTCTATTACTATAAGCCAAGTTTTCAGTCATTATGTTGTAATTATACCAAAATCAGGTTCACAGGACTAAATTTATAAACATCTGTTGGTGATTTGGAGATTTGTAAGTGTAGCTTTGCATCTGATTTTTGTGACCAGAGAGGACAATTAGCATGATACAGGTTACCATTTGCTGAGCACCCATAACATAATTACCAAAAGATCCTTCCTTTATTAAAAGACTTAGGAGGATTATTATGACTTAGGAGGATTTTTAAAAAATCTTTTCCAGATGTCCATACATAGGACACATCCCAGTGGAAGGCTAGTCTACTGGGCTCCAGAGCCTATGCTCTTTCCTGATCTTACTCAAATAACTCAAAGATTATAATGGCTGCCCTCAAGCTGTTGATTTTTTTCTTTTCTCTTACACTTTGATGTTTAAAGTATTGCAGAGTCTTCTGGCTCACATGCTCCCAGCAGTTAACATCCTATTCTCACCTACTACAGTATATATGAACAGCAAATAAAAATTTAGGATTTTTTTCTGAGTACTAAAGTCTCTGGGATATGTCCCCTAGGAATATACGAGTAGCATTCAATGATATGTGTTTTTCAAAGTTTAGTTCTGATTCTATTTCTCTACAAATCAAACTTCCTGGAGCTCATTCTTTTTTCACAATGTGGTTTGACTGTGGCCCTCTATGCAGCCTCTATCACTCCTTCCTCCAGAAACCTCTTCCTTGGCTTGGGTGCCACCTCTCTTTTCCTAGTAAGTGTTCCCTCCCCCTTCTTTTCAGAGGTCCCTTTCTCAACCTCCCCCTTACCTACTGATTATATCTTCAGGTCTTTTCTCTTTTCACACTAGGAATTCTTGCTCACTCAAATTTAGTTTTAACTACATATATAAGCAGGGGGATCCCCGGCAATCCCCCCTGGGCCCCAGGCCCAATGTTTGTCTGAAAAATTTCCGGGGGAAAATTTTAAAAAAAAAAAATTAAAAACACCACCCTC